CAGGCTCAAGCGGCACACCAATGGGACCCTGCCCAAAGGCGTACGACCGCCGCAGCGCAAGGTTCCACGCGAAGCTGCTCGCGCTGACGCCCGCCACCATGCCGGCGCGCAGCATGATCTCGTAGTCGACCAGTCCACGCTGGTCCCACGTCAGCGCCTCCAGCGCCTCCTGCTCCTCGTCGTCCAAGATATCCGTCTTGGTGACGACCGTGACGTTGAAGTCCTCGGCACGGTTGACAAACGCCGTGATATTGGTCTCGGTGGCGCCCGAGGCCAAGAACGCGACGCTCGACTCCGACTCGGAGAGGTAGTGCAGGTAGTTGGCTGCCTGCGTCGTGTAGTCCGGGAACCTCTCGTTGACGTCCTCTTCGGTGCGTAGATGGACGCCCACGAAGCTCGACGGGTGGTACCGCGTCCGCGGGTCGAGATTAAGTTGGAAACGGGACTCGAGGCTGAAGAGCGCCGAGGCCGCGAGGCGCCGGGCATCCGGGCGGATGCGAAGCATGCGTCCGAACGAAGAGGCCACGGGCGCTTTGTCACGTGCCGTTGGCCACGTCCACAGGGTATGTTTGAGATGGGTGCGGAAGGGGTATACCCTTTCCGCGGGGGGTGACTTCTCGTTGATGAAGTCGTGGAATTGCTTGTTCCAGTCCGAGGGCTCGGCTAGGACGGTGCCGTTGACCCAGTTGCTGTTCGTATCCGCGATACTAAACTGGAGGGCCTCGAAAACTTCCGGCACGTCGTACAGGTCATTCATCGACCCGTGTACTCTCATCTGAGGACAATACGTCTGGAGAACGTGGTTGAGGTGGGCTGCGTCGAAGTAGTAGTCGAGAGGCACGGCGGGCCGTCCATTAATGTTCTTGATGTCGTCTTCTGAACGAGGTATGATCTCGGGTAGGATCAACTCCGCTGGCATCGATTAGTATGAAATCATCATCCAGAAACCCGTATTCTATCCAAGGGACATGCTTACCTCCTGCCTCGATCGCAAAGCGAATGCAGTGCAAGTGGGCATTCCGCACTTCACCAATCCCTCCTGGTGCTGCATCGCAGCCCATCATCAATCCCTTTGTCCATTTCTTGCTGGCACACAGGCCTTGGATAGCCGCGCCGTCGAAGCGTCCGTCAACTTCGTGCTCGAGGAAATCTTTGATAAATAGCTCCCTTTGATTGCGGAACTTGCGGGTGATTGTCTGTACATGCTGCCGTGATATTCCCAAGTACCATACTGACCAGAGAATAAGGAGCATCGGCCCCACGAGCTTCATGAGCTGGGATAAAGATGTCGAGCCGAGCATGATGGGCTAATCGATGCAGTTGGAGCTGCTGCCGTGATGAGAAAAGTTGAGGAAACCATCTCGCTGATGAGGAGGCGGAAGAGGCGACTCTCTCAAAGGAAAAACGCCCAGCCAGCTATCGAGGGCGAAACGAGTGGAATGGAAAGCTTCGCGCCTGGCTGAACGAGCCAGAAATGTGGCGTTTCTCAGTCGTTCTCGGAATGGCATGGCGTTGATCGACAGCTATTAAAGGGATAGGATTGGCGATAGCGCGCTCGACAGGCTGCTAGTCCGAGATGCCATCTTTACCGACGTTCTTCAGCAGTTTCGCAATGCCCCTGGATCTTCTGTCCCTTTCTGAGCGTCATGGTATTCTGTAAGATGCCGAATAAGTGAGAACTCTGGCAATTGCAGGTTGCAGAGAGGTACTGATTCGACATGTCCTTTATCGAGCGATGAACACAGAGTATCGTGGGATTCGCGTTCGGCGCACGCTAACAGGAACATGCGACGAGAAACGCTATTTCTCTGTGGCGGTAGTGAGGTCTGTAGTCGAGTTTAAGTGAATAATGGCTGCCGCCTGACCAGCTTTGAGGCTGAAATAGAATAGGCCGCGAACTTTCATGGCTTGGTTTTCCTACTGCCGCTGATCTCAAGTGTTGCCCCTTGTCGGTTCGTCTCGCGACCAGGAATCACTACCTACATAGTCTTGAGGGTCAATGAGACAGCCTGGGGACTTAGCCGTACCTGTTTCATCATCACGGGCACCGAAGCGTGATTTCGGATGGCAGATAGTAGTGAAGACACGGCCCAGGCACAACCCGTTGTGCAGTGGTGGCCAAGCTTACACTGAATGTTTCCGTCTGATCACGTCGTTGAATAATCGCAATGCTCGCGACGTCGGCCTAGACCAGGGGATTTGGCGCACCACAACACAGCATCCCCGGGTTCGTGCTGCTTGGATCTCGCAGCGGACAACCGAACCGGTGCCACGCAGAGTGCCAAGACTGTCTGGTAGACTATGTTTTGATTGGGCCAGCGCAAAGTCCAAGGTCTTCTAGCCTCTAGGTTTGACGTTGCACCGAAGCCGTTGACAGTTGTTCAGTTCCCTCTGGGGTGGCCGTTTCGTTTGACTCGGACGGTTTGATCGTCTGGACGGGAACGACTTTAGCCTGACCTTTTCTGTGCATGCCGCGGTACACCACCTACTGCACACAGAACTCGGATGAAAGTCAAGATTTTGAGCCGCGGTGAACTTGAATACTGGTGATCAAGGTATATGAGCTCATCTTGTCTTGCCGTAGTGTCTTCGAAAGCCAATGTCCCCAGACATAGGACGAGAGAGAAAACATGGACACTGCATGAAAAGCCCGCCGTTCTTGCAATAACGCACCTCTGCGGATCCCGAAGCGTTCAGCTGCAGCGTCGCAGTAGACTCGCTGATCCCGGGGCGGGCCTCCTGTCATTTCTCCGGCCAGAGATTGGTGGCCCATGGTTTTGAGCTCATGAAGGGTGCAGAGCCCATGATACTCGGCGCACTAGAAGAAGCCTTGCTTGCAGTTGACCATGCCCTGCCCATAGGTATGTATGATAAGAGTGTTGGAGAGTATCGACCAGGCCATAGATACCCGTGCTGATACTCTTGCCGCCCCTAAGAACCTTACCTAGACGGGCTCACCGCATCCCAAACCCCATCGTCGTGCAGGGCCAGGCAGGCATTCGCAGCTGTCGAACGCGCCATGTTGTGCTTCGATTGGCTCGAGGGCCAAGTGTAGCGATTGCAAGCTTTAGGGGCAGAAGTATAGCAGCACAGTACAACAAAACACAACACACAACGCGACGCAGCATACGGTGATGCTATTCGTGTGTTTCGCGCCAGCCGCGGGACTTGTTCGTATCATCCATCAGTGGCCACCCCTACCCAGCATCGTACATGGATTTGGGTACAATAGACTTGGGAGAGAGCCTGTTCCCCAGCCTCTGCTTCTATGCCGGCGCCGTTGTAAGAGTGTGTGCAAGCTGATGTTAGTCTCGGCCAGGATTCATTTGCCTCAGGTATCTGTAATCGTCCGTCGTATTGCAGCTTGGACATTGGTGAAAAAGTCATGGAATGAAAAGTCTTTCCCGAGTAGCTCCCAGCTAACGATTGCCCCTGGCACAAAGGATGGGAGTCAGAGCCGACGGCGAAGAGCGACGGAGTACGGAGGAGAGATCGGGCCCCTTATTCATGATTCAGTCAATGGGTCAAGAGTTGGCGGTAGTTGTTGGCCCTTGGAAAGTTGTAATTAGGTAGCATGGAAGTGAGCAAAGTTGGGAACTCTCGTCTGTTCGTGTTCTGTTCCCCGCTCCTCCCGCACAGCCGCTTTCTGCTCGGTGATCCTGGCATCGCATCTTCATGCACTTTGTGGTGCGGCAGGTCCAGACTCTGGGACTTCAGCTGGCAGATTCCCGTTCATGGATGATGGAGCAAGGAAAGACCGATCGGGGGGAGGAACAGACGAGGAGGTGCCTTCTCCTTCCAGGTGGTGGTGGACCAAGAGGCAAGTACCAACCATAACTGCCAAGAGCACATCAAGCAGGCCCAGCAGATGGGGCCCTAGTGGATCTGACTAGCCAATGAAAATTCAAGTATACCAGGCGAGTATCCACTTTAGCGAGTGAGTTGACCCACTCAACGCGAAAAGACGCGTTTAGCCGCGTCTTGAACGCGTCGCTTCCGCACTTCACAAGTTCACATCTGGTCCGTCGACCATCGGCCATCGGATGTCTGATTTTTTTCTCCCCTTCCTCTCAGCACTCCAAGTCGTGAAAGTTCCCACAGCTCTCGCACGGATCGCACTCAAATCAGTTTCATCCGTCGTCTCTTTTTTCTTGGAACACTCCACGCACTCCTCCCCCCCACCCATGCGCCGCCGCTTCTCTCTCTCTCTCAACTTGGGTTGGACGGACGTCACCGCCCACAATTGTCAATTTGTGATGCCAATGAGTCGCTTCCCGCCCGTCACACTCACCTTGATTTTCACCGGCCAAATCCAACGCTTTACCTCGTGCTCACCTACTATCCGTACGCCGTACTCAAACTCCTAATTACCGGCTCAACCAAGGTTGACAGCCCATCTAAGAATATTACTTCAACAACACGACCAGGCCGTGTGTTCGCTCACTTATCCGACTTTCGTCACGTCTTACACTCTCCTCCGTCATCGTTGCCACATTCGAGCCAACTAGCACTCTTTTGAGGACGCTTTCTCGTTCATTGGCCATCATCCAGTCTTCATCTTCGACCATCCCCAACACTCGTTATCCACTTTGTGGCTTGCTCAACGCTCAATCGCTGCACTTCGAGATTCTGTTCGTCCCAAGAACGACACTCCCGGCAGACATTAATTAAGCCTGCTGGCTGCAGACGCAGAAACCAGCCTCCCTTCTTTCCCTGCCCCGGTCGCAGACGACCAAGCGCAAACCGCCGCACAGGCTGTGGCCAGGAGAACCACCATCCGCAAGTTCGCACCAACAAGCACCGCAGACGCAGGGCAAACGCGCCCTACCCAAGACGAGATAGCGAGCACGAAGCTTCTGCACGCACATCCAGCTTCGGCAGCATCGTCTGGTTTCTTGTCTCACTGCCCCACAAACCGAGCGGCCTGATCGTCTCGACCGTCTCTCTGTGAGTCTCTTTGAGGCTTGCCATTGTCTATCCGGACTCCCAGTCTGCTTTGTTCATTCGACTGTCGTCTCGTCCGTTGCATCAGCCCGTCTACGATTGAGCCCTGCTAGTCGTGGCTTGAGCTTTTCGTTCGCGGCATCTGCTACATCCTCTGCGTCGTCCGACACCCAAGAAAGACCAGTCGTCTCGTTGGTGTTATTGAGTTCTCCGTCACCAAGCATACCTACTACGGTGACCTGCATCGGCTGCTTGTCTTGGCCAACCCAATACCTAGTCCGGCGCGCTTCCCAGACTTCACGCGCGGCGTACCTTGCTTTGCAGCTGGCGAACGAACGAATCGACCAACGGGAGCCCGATGCTATTGCTTTGCTTTGCTTCCATCGCTCCTTTCGGACTCTGCACCCTCGTCGTTCGCTGCTCCATCATTCGCCGTACCTGCACTCCTGTCGTGTCCATCGAATAGCTACACCAAACGAACGACACAGTGTATCTGGAGTACATACGACTACTGCAGTCGCCAAACCCCATTTCATACGCCGCCACCCATTTCACTCAAACTTCAAAGTAGCTTCTTCTCCAGGATTCCTTGCGAAGAAGAGAGATCGAGTTTGGACAACTTACAAGCCACGACTTCAACCGGGCCCAGTCCCAGTGGCAGACGGGGCAGGCGATCCTCAGTCTCCTCCTTCAACAAGGCGCTTCCTACCTTGCGCATCTCACCGCACATTGCATCCTCAGGGTCTCTCGGCGCAAAACGAGACTACGCTCACCCTAGACTCCACTCTGCCACATGCGCTGGCGAGCTTCTGGACCTGTCTCGAGCCGCTACTGGTGTGTCCGTCAGTCACAAACGCTCCACTGTCACTCGCCTTGGACGGCTTGACTAGGTTCCCTTGGGTTTAGCCTAGGTGGGGGATTCTAGCGTGCTCAACCGCTGTGCGACTGCAACCCGTGGACCTTGGACGCCCTCCCCCGGTCACCACGCTCTGCTGCTGCACCGACTGCAACTGCAGGACTGCACGGGGGTTCAAGCGAGCAGTGTGTGAAGTTTGGCTCACCTCAACTTTGGCTTGGTGAGGTACTTTTCGGTGTTCGAGGGCCTGTCGACCTCTTTCACTGCAACCCTCAGGCACGAGCACAGGCTCAGGCGCAGGCACAGGTCTCTTCCCATTCGTACCTATCCTGCCAGGACCAGAGGTGTTCTCTGTTCTCCCGCCCTGTCCCGGCTCCTCGAGCAAGGTTCGCGCCACCCGCTCTTTCTTCTCCACCCCGCCCACCATCGCTGGACCTTGCCATACATACCACACCGGTCCGCCTCAGCCCAAGCCTGTCCGAACTTCCTCCTCCCACCTTTCTCTTCAACCACAGTCGTTCCTTTTCGCAAACACCAGCCGTCCTCCGGTGGTGGGGGTTGCGCGCTTTCGATTTTCCCCCGATAAGCCCATACCTAATCACGAGCCATTCACCAGTAAACAAGACGAAGAATTATTACGTCCGTCTGGCTCGTCGCGACGACCTATTTCCTTGACCCTACCTATCTACAGTATTGCGACGACGATTCCCGGACGTCCAGACGATCCATCCACGAATATCATAACACGAAGCGACACTTGCGACGACATTTACCACGATTACCAAGACAACGTTTTCTTTTTCTCTATTCCATTCGACCAATGTTTTGACGAGAAAGCGGTGTTGAATCGCACGATCCTCGAATCCAGCCGAGGCCGTCGCATACCTGATTGCAATTGACTGAGCGCTCCATACCAGCTACAGGATCTACATTGGTTGAGCAGTACACGACCTAGGTAGTGTGTTGGACATATTTTGTGTTGCACACTAAATATCGCGCCCATTCTGTGCGACAGCCGTTGAGGTCAATCAAAGCCCTTTGAGGCTCAGGGACGTTACCACGCGCTCAAATACCACTTTGTCTCAAATTTGCCACCACAAGAACAATTGGAGGACCACGTCGCCTTTGTTCTCGGAGAGACGTTCACCAAACGGCTTAGAAATCGCGAGGCCTACCTGCCGCCAGCATTTTTCCAAGAGGTCGCGACATTCCTCGCCTCCTTAACTCCGCTAACATGAACCCTCAACATTCCGGAGCGGCGACACTGCCCAAAGGCTTTCGTTTCCATGACCCGGATCAGCAAAACCCCAAAACACCGGAGCCTTCCGCTATGGACGAGGAGCTTCAGCCTCCATCGCCGCCGCGTCCGCGATTGAGACTGAAAAGGCGCGTCGCATCCAACTTGAACGCTCCAACGACGCACTTCCTCGCGTCAGTTGCTGCCGCCGACGTTCCGATTCCCAGCATCGAAGAGCCCGAGTCGGCTGGGCCGGACACGCAAACACGATTTTCCAGCATGACGTACCCGGTTATTCACAATCTCAATGACTTGAACGAGCTCGCCTTACATAAACTTCGCGGAAGGCGTTTTTCTCCACCCAAGACGCCAGCACCTGGCGCCGCTCCCTCACTATCCCCTAGACGGTATCCAAACTGGTCCATCGACTCTGCCTTCAGTAGCGGCGAGTCTACCCCGGAGTGCGAGTCCAGCCGGCCATCTACCGCACGGTCCACGCAAACCAGCGCTTCCCTCTTCAGTCGCTTCTCCCTAGCATCAGAAGACCTGCAGTGCATCAGCCCAGAGACTGACGCGTCGGATCACGTCAAACACTCATTCTTCGACGCAGTTGAAGAACCTACCGAACCCTCATCCAAACCAAAGGCAAAGAGGAGAAAGGCCCCGTGGACGAAGGCAATGAGTGACCACCTCTGGGCTACCTACCTTACTTATTTACAGGACCCCAAGGTCACGCCGTTCCGTACCGCTAAAAGTGGCGTGCCGCCTCACGGGGTTTGTCTTCGCGTTGCGAGGGAAGCGAAGCGAAGCTGGAGAGGCCCCAAGGGGGGAAGAAAGTCTCTCAACCCCAAGAGCGGAAGCAGCACTCCTACTATCGAGACCTGCACCTTTCTCCAGTGGCCGCACACTTGCGCTTCCACCCGAGCTCACTTGAGAGATTTGTGTAAGCTCAAAGCCGCTTCATCATCGGCCCGCACCAGCAAGTTCCTCGCCAACAGCCCGACACCTTTCGGCAGAACGGCGGCGCGTTTCTGGAACCGAAGATCCACACCGGCCCGTTCCCCGTCCGTCTTCTCAGCTCACGATATGTCCATGTCGCTTACTCTGAGCACTTCAGAAGCCATGCAACCACTGGGTCCTCTGGCGCAACTTACCAAGTCGGAACCCGAACCTCCTGCTCAAGAATCAATGACTGAGCCGTTCCCACTATTCCCCATGGAGTTTTCTAAGGTGGATGCTCCTCTCGAAGACCGCCCACGACTGGGGACACCTTTCATGGCCAACAGCTACGGGCCCAGCTCAACTGGTGCGCTGGCTGCTGCTGTCTCTTCAGTACCTCAAAGACAGAACCAAAGTCTTGGCCACAGGCGCACGTTGCAGTCGCCGGCGCGTCTGACCAGAAGTCGATCGAACACGCAAAAGCGAGTTGGACGACCCAGACAAGCATCTCATGAACCGCGCAAGACCAAACGACCTAGTCTCGTTTCCGACCTCTGGACTGAGCCGATGCCTTCTGAGACCCTACCCAAGACACCGGTTAAACCAGAAGTCGAATTTAGTTCCACGGATAGGAACTCACACGACGACCTTTTTGTACCTCGTACAAGTCTCAGTGGGCTCTTCACAGCCCCAATGCAGATACCTGCGTCCAGGCTTCCCAACCTGCCTGATCCCTTTTTGGCTGCGCCAACCGCACCTCCTGCGAGGCTCGGATCACCGTTCCCTGGAACCAAGACTAGCTTTTCTTTCCCGAATCGTTTCACACAGCCAGAAGAGTTTGATCATGACACTATTCGCCCGTTTGCCACGATCCAGCAACAAGCCAGCGGGGATGGTGGCTCTGCTCCTCCTCGTAAGCTGGCTGACCGCTTGGCTTACATTGACGAACGCCTTCGCAACTTTAGACGCCGAGACAGCAATCGCCGCCGGTCTGAATCACCTTTCTAGTGAAACATTTTCTTTGTACATGTTGCTACGCCCGTTACTCTCACGACTTATGAGTCCATGCGAGTTATCTGCTCGATACCCCTGTGGAGATACTCCTGCAAGGACATACCCTTCGACTGGTACATAGACGACAGCACGCTTTGATGATGGCCCCGATATTTCCTTACTTCACTTCTTACGGACACATTTGCTTCACATATCGAGAGGAAGATACCCTTCCTGGCTTGGAGGACTACTTAATGGCCACTTTGCTTGAGATGGTTTGCGATGTGGATGACATCTCCTTTGTCTTTGTTCACAGCTGTCGGTTCTCCGCAGCCCGGCTTCTTATTGACGATGGACATGATGAAACGACATTCGGCAAGGACGTCGGATATTTTATGTACGTATTGACGACCGGGCCTCGTATGGGGTTCCGGGGCGTTGCTTGGGTGAGAAACTCACTTCGAAGATGAGGCATTCAATTGGAACAGAAAAGTAAAAAAAAAAAACTCGGTGAAGAGGAAGACAAAATAGTCGTTTCTAGACAAATGGATGTGAGGCATTACTCTCTTTCCACAGTATTGCGCCTGACGTCAGGTGACGCGAGTTCTTACCGAAGCTGCCTTGCTTTTTGACGTATCTTTGATTGATGATCTCGAATAGCTTCCCATACGACATGGAGACGTTTTCGAAACTGACCCTATGCGGGGGAGGCGGGGGAAATACGAGATGTCTTGTCCCTCACCTCGAGCCAAGACGCCAGAGGAGTGATGGATTGACGCTATGTGAAGTGGGCGACGCCCCTGGAGTGACTGAAAGCAGCCAGACATTTTGACGAACGCAATGTTGGATCCGTAAGAAGTCCATTGCGCTGTTTGGCTGTCTGAAGGACTGGAGGGTGGAGATATTCTTGGCCTCTATACCTTGTGATTTGAAGACAGTAGAGAATGAGTTCAGAAGTAGAGGGAGGAGGGAGACAAGCGATGGACGGAATGGTGTCTGTTGCCTTGCAATTTGATGAGGAGGTTTGTTGGTGAGAGCAGACGAACATCATGACTGGCGGGGTGGAAGGATTTTGGCCAAAGTTTCGAGAATGCCTCTCGGGGCCGAATTATCCAGCCGAGATTCACGTGCCGTTCGTGTCTGGGCGGTACCTGGAGCATGCGTGAGTCGGGGAATGTGCGTTCGGATTGAGGTACGGGATATGGTGCGGGTGCTCGGTGATGAGATGCCGATGTTTCGTTTCAAGGGGGGCTTGATGATACATACTGGGCCGATTTCCGAAGGTATCGTGAGAGGCACTCACTCGATTGGAGGAGATTTGATATTGGGACGCGAACTAGGAGCTGTACATGAAATTTGATATCGGACTCTTGTGAGATTTCGATGGTCGGTTGAGGAATGTGGATTGAGAAACGGTGTGGTTCTACACAAGGAAGAGGATGGTCATTTGCGTTCCTTCAATGTCGGGAATCGACCATGGCAAATCTTGCAAAGGAGAAGGTGCTTGCTTCACTGCGTCTCGGCCGGGTGTCCCGTGCTGGAATTCCCCAATGGTTCATCGTGAGAGCTGCCCGGTCCCCTGCGTGCTTTAGGCATGTCCCGGCGTCCCGATGTCCCGGGTAATGTGAAAGGGAAACGAATGCATTCGGATCTCCGGCGAGCCTTTGTTTTCCTTCGATACTTTTCAACGAGTCTCTCTTACCTTTGGGGGGTTTCGAGGCTATGCCTTGCAGAAAGCCTGCGTTGGTCGCGGAAAATCTGGTGGCAATCATCTCATCGCCTTCGCTTTCGCATTTGGAAAAAGTAGTGTCTTCCCCTCGCTCGTGGAGGAAAGTTGTTGGAATGTCGGTAAACTCTGAAAGGGCCGTTCCTATAGCTCCTCCACGTGTTCGGGCTGGCTGCGTGGCTACCTCCAAAGGCCTCCTCCCCCTTCGTCTCGGTTTATTTCAATAAGGCCCTTGGTTTCATTGCGTACAATCCTGAGCTGGAGGGATTTTGTAGAAACGAGGGAGTGCGCTATGGAAATACTCATGTAATGATACTGCTGCTCACTATTAACATGGCCGCAGTCTGTGGCAGATGAAGAATTTGAACCACTACTTTCAGAGGTCGTAAGTGTACCGAGTGGAAAGGAATACACCACCTGCGCTGACAACGCGGGACCCGAACGATCCGGACTATGCGAGCGCCCCGGCGTCCGAGGCTCGGGTCCCAAATGGTCCTGATGGCCCAAGTACCCTCCGACATTTTGCTACTCCTTTTAAGAGCTCCAAGGTATCTATCTGCAGTGCCCCCCGCGCGCGCGCGGGTCCAAACACGCCTGTTAAACGTCTACAATGGGAAATGGCGTCGGTGATAGGGTTCCTCCCCCTCTCATAGGCTTTTAAGCTTCGAGACCGACAGGTCCGCCAGGCTGGCATTGGCAGCTCCGGGGGAACAAGAAGAAACGCACCGTCTTGGGCGCTAGCTCACACGCACCGGCGACGGACTCGATCCTCGCTCGTGAAATGTGCAAATGAGCGATGGTATGCGTTTCTCAGAGCATGGCTTTCTTTTTTTTGGCCCCAGTTGCTCAAGTTGTGTTTGCTCGATCTGTCCATCTGGTCACTTGGCCGCCATGATCAAGTCAAGGATGTGATTATTACGTGCTGCCTGGTCTTGAGAGATGGTCAGAGAGCGCGCTAGAGCTCTTCCTCTTTCCCCAGACTTTGCATTAGCACATGATGTCGAGATCTGCAGAGCTTTAGTGTCATGGTTTGATGTACCTAGCCAACTAGCCGCACGTGAGACTAACTGAGAGCTGCATGATTTCTACTCTTCTCGCTAAATTCTGACAGGGCAGATCACTGCATTGCTTATTGGATCCCCAAAGATGCTTTCGTCGGGCGGGTTTACATGCCGTCTGTCTCTCTCGATCGGTGCCAGCGTCACAATGTCCCGGCCGCAGCCAAACGGGTCTCTTGCAAGAGACTGCGCCGCTTCTCCAATTCACACTTTCCATGCTCAAGTCCTTTTCTTGACTCCACTCCCCGGATGCCACCGGAGAGGCCCAGCAACGTTGTCCCCAAGTGGTACGCCCGGCTTTGGTGCTGCTGACGGCGGCGGCGTGGACCACGCCAGGAGGCAGAGGATTGGGGAACGGAAGACGGACATATCGGCCGGTGACTAGGTATGCAGTGTGTTCATACCGGTAACAATGGACTTTGTCTCTCTTCCGATCCACTGTTGCTACCTGACGGTCTCCCTGGGTTTGGTTCGAGTCGCGGCTCGGCGCAGCAGTCGGGCGAAGAGAAAGATGTCATTGGCGTTCCGAGACTATGTTCCGTCACGCATCTGTCTGGCCTGTCTGCTACTTGCTCTTCCTTCATCCAATCCAAAGACTTGCATTATCCGAGGCCTACTCCGGAATGGAAGAGTTGCGCTTTAAAACAGGACGTTAGACTGGCGGGGCTGACATTCCGAACCACTCAGGCGCAAACGCTCCCTAGCACTTGCGCATGCGCTGGTTCCATAGAATGCTGGCCGATGAGGTAACCTAGCCTCCAAGATATCCCGTCGTAAACATCGCGGTGTCAAACATTCTTGTACCCAAAATCTCACGACCTGTTGGACACAACACAATTCTTAAGAATACCCGCCTTCAGACAAGGGGCATAATTGGGACATGGGCCGGAAGAGAGACGGGGGGGCTTCAGGTCCAGGGAATACGAAAATAAAATGATCTCCGTGCTATTTTAGCTCGGGATTCCCACAACTCTCTCTGCCTGTCCACTCTGACATGGAATGAAGGAATCCGCCATCCCGCATAAACTACCCTAACTCCAAGGGCTAAAGAAGTGAATAAGAAAGATCGTCCCTACTTTCGTACGCTATGCTCGTATTTACCACTGAGAAATGCCCACCGTCTAGCCCCATAAGGCCAACGAAAAGCTCATTTCCCAATGCCCCAAAAAGGCCTCCCAAAAAAGTTGGGGAAGACCTCTTTCTACGGATGGATACTAGGGCCTTTTCAGCTAGGTAAGGGGACTCTGCGTTTGCAAGCGAACCAGCGTCCGTTCAGATCCAGGCAATTTCGCAGAATAAGGTGAATCCATACGGCACGCGACGTAAGGTCCCAACTTGGGCGGTCCTATCTTCGTCCGGACGGAAAGCCTCTGCGCCGGCGGAGGACGATGGGGGATGAGAGAGGAGAGACGTGAAGGGCCCTGCGGGTCAATGTACGCAGACGGCCGACGGAGACAGGGGACTGGCGCAAGCGCATCTTCTCCGTTCGTCAAAGTGCTTACTGCGTGAGGAGCCGACTGATCTGCGAGACATTGCGATGCGTCTTCTAGTCTTGATAATTCAATTGACGCTGTGAAACTTCCCCCGATAGATTTGTTGTAAATGGTTCATGCATCAACACGTCTGTAGCCCTTGTCGAGTGCTTAAGAGGATGGGCGTACCCAAGATCCCCGACCCCAGGAGGATGGGAAGACGTGTGGGTTCATCCAACCTACAGCTCGGGTCTGTCGCGTGCGCGCAGCCCGGCGCGCGCGTGTAAGTGCGCCGTCCGCGCATGCAAGCCAGAACCCTGCGCTGACAGTCACCCAGTCCCGAGGGAAACACAAAAGGGAAACGAACGTAGGGGCAGGGAGGACGGGTAGGATCCGTCATGACGGTATTGATCCGCCGAAAGCCAAGACTCTCTCCCCAAGAAAAGATATCCCACGAGCTACCCTAATTTGGCACCTTAATTCAAATTCAGGCTCTGCCCTTGTCTGCACGCGTCGAAGCTGGGATTAGGGGCTGATGGGGGGCCCTGGAGCTTTCGCTGCGCAAAAGGAACAAGAAGACGATTTTCTTGGCTCGGAATGGCTCCAGGGCTGAGCCTCTCTCTGCGTCTTCCTAATTCCTGTGTTCCTCTCGTGCTGCTTTCTCCTTCGATCGTCAGTCAGCCTAGCTTTTTGGTCATCCCTTGCCTGATAATGTAGCATTCATCCGGGGGTGATTCAAGGTACCCATAAATGCACCACCGCATCCGTCGACAGATTTATCTCTTCCGGTACGACGACCAATATGTATTCGAGTTCCTGTATCGAATACAAAGTCGTCCAATGTCTGTCAGAGACATTTCATAGTCCCACCGGTGTAAAACCAAAACCAAAACCAAACCAAACACTGGCAGTAATACCACGAACCTTCCACGAACTTGACACAACCCGTGGTCCGAACGAGCCAAAAAACCTTGTCCTAAAGAGGAAATTGAGAACAAGAAACTGGAAACGGCCAGCACCGAGCAAGCTGGGTGTGAATCCGAAGAAACCACTCTATCCGTACAGCTCCAATCCCGGCAGGTAACAATCGCGGGCTAATACCTAGGTAATACCTCTCGATCCAAAGGTCTGCCTTACACCGCACTAAAACAAAAAAGTGTCGTCTGCCTAAAAAGCTGTGCACCCGCGCCTCTCCGTCCCCCGACTCCCCCGGGCACCCCCTTGCTCGCCGGGCCTTAACATTCTGACATTGTACCGCAATAAGGTCAGTCCAATGTCACTTTTTCCCCTTGGCTCTTTGCCCCATGCCCCCTCCCCTCCGTGGCACGAACCGAACCACGCCTCGTTCGTTTCTTTCCTACTTAGGTAAGGGATATCGAACACACATGTTCCGGGAACGGGGGGAATTCACTAGGTATTCAGTAATCCCATCATCATCTGCATCATCGCCCCTTACGTACCTTACAGAAAGAAAATAAGGAAGGAGGGGGGTCATCGGGGGTTAGGAAGGGGGGAAACTGCAAGGGATGCTGATGACGGACGGTGGAACCTGAGCTTGCGCCTGGGAGGTACGGGAACCAATACAGGGGATACACAGCAAAGGAGACAGACATGCGGATACAAGAGATAGAAACACAATCGAAAGCAAAGTCGCTAAAACTCGCTCTACCAGCGTCAGCGCCGTCGCGGGGGAAAGCACCAAAACGCAAACCAAAGAGAAGCCCAAAGCGGCGCCAGACCCGGGTGTCACAAGCCCGCTCGGGAATGGGGGGGGGGGAAGGGGGAAGAGAAACGTATAATACCTCGCTAACTTGGACACTTTAAACACCGTAGAGTCCAGTGTGTACGGAGTACTTCGTACCTCAGAGGTCTGATGACCCGGACAAGCAGAAAAACAAGAGCGAGACCAAGCTTTTTTGCAACCAGAGGGTTCTGAGCAGCACCAAAAAGCTTCCCTTTCTACCTAACCCCTGTACCACACCACCACCACCACCACCACCACCACCAAGAACGCCCGGCTGCCTACATGGTACCTAACCCAGATCAGAGCACAAAAGTCAAAGTCGGGATTGGGTACGTCCAGAGTATAATATCGTGTCAGACCGCACCACCCGTTCCCCTCCTTCCCCTTCCTCCCGTCCTCTTGAACCTGAATCTCGGCTTTATTCTTATCCTTCTCGTCATCCTCTTGAACTGCTCTTGTGCTCCCTTCCATAACACGACATAACGACGACGACGGGTGTGTTTCCACTGGTGCTCGGATAGTGTGTACTCGACTTACATCCCACCTCCACGTATAACCTGGATCCCTTCCTCAGATCACCGCCGATCATCCAACCAACCGACACACTCTCACCTACTCGGTACACCGGCTTAACTTTTTATTACCGGCTCGTCGGAAACAGTCACAGCTTAAAATAGGGAATCGAGAGAAAGAAAAAAGTCCAGCAGAAAGACATCTAGTGTCTTCTTTTTATTTGGAAAAAAGTAATCTAGGATATTCATCCCCCCCTACTGGGTAGTTGAATATGTACATTCAAAAAAATATGGCTCGTCCCAGCATCATCGTCTCCATGCTTGTCCTCTCGCTCTCCGGAACCACGTTCGGCAGAGCGAGCTTCTTCGGCAAACAGCAACAACACGACGCAATGACGGATTGCGCGCGCGTCGATGCCCCGACCTCCTTGACCTGGCTTTTGCAAGATCAACCCTTCGAACAGGAGGATCCGTCCGCCTTTTTCTACGTCAACCAAGATATTGACGCGTCAGGTAGGACTTCTTCTTTTTTTGGTGCTTTTTTGAAATTTCTTGTCTTTTTTGGGTTGGCAACTATGCCTCTCTGGTGTATAGTTTCCCTGACAAAGGAGATTCTGAATGAATGAATGAATGTACTCAAACGGTTCTCTTTTATAGGAAACAAGGCGAACAGAGTCGCACAACTCGTCACCTTTGGCGGCGTCCAGGGACAACAGGAATCGACAGAGTGCCGCCTCCTCTTCACCATGCCCGAGGACTCGGAGAGCTGGGAGCTGATCCAGCGCGAGGGCGCCACCACGATGCGCGTCTTCCGCGTCCCCAGCTACGAAGGGGACGATTCCGTACGACAGAAGCAGAATCTTCTGGGCACCGTCCTGGTCAAGCCTGGAACGCAGTCCATCGACCTCGGCCAGTGCGACGGCAGCGGTAGTTTCGTTTTCGAGCTTGCCGACGCGGGACGCAGTCGCGTCGCTTTCCGCCAGGCATCGAAGCCGAAAGACGGCTTTGGGGTCTTCATGGCTCATGGATGCCCGGTCCCTAGAAGGACCGAGTCCGAGGACTTGTGAAGAGGAAGAGGTGATTTCGAATGACGAGTTGAAGAATTAGAATTTTGGTGTGTGTCTTTGATGAGTTTGGTTTTCCGCCGAACTAGACGGGCACCCTCCACCCGTGGAGGTTGGCGATGTTCACAGTCCCTCTAAAACACCTGCGCGGTGTAAGGCATCCGTTCTCGGCGGAAAGGTGGTTGTGGTATCCGCATGTCGCGACGGGAATGGCCACGGCTTGGTTCTGGGGCGACCTCCATCACCAACGGCACAAGTAGAAAGTTATCCAGCTCCCTGCTGGCCGTGGTGTGAGGACATCTACGCTCGCCGACGGCAGCCCGATGGCTGTGGAACGAACATTGCCGGAAACCGAACTGGCGCTCTTCGTTACGAAGCTTATTAGCCGGGATGCGCAGTTGAGGGTTCTTGATGCGTGTGTCCAGCTTGCTCGACTTCATCTTGCGCAGGTGCGAGGTGAACTCGGTTGCGAAGTCGGGGAAGCGCTCAAACATTTCCTGAAACCTTTCGAGCCCGCCATCGTCCTTCACGATCGACGACGAACCTCCAGCAACGGACCAGGCCACCATCGCTACGGTCCACCTCCGAATTCGCATCGAAGACTCGGCATCGCACTGGCCGTAAACGTATTGGACGAAGCGAGGTGTGACATCCCAGTCGCAGCGGAGGTAGATGTCTTGCAAGGCATCAATCGCAAGGTCTTGCAGGTGATGCAGATCGAGCCGAGCAGCGAAGATGTGAAGGCGAACCAGAGCCCAGTGAAGTCGTTGGCACGGTACGCCAGGGGCATCACTGACGAGAGTGATCATCTCGTCGAGGTGTCTGCGGAAGCCGTCTCTTTGATGCAGCCATACTACGAAGAGCTCGAACATGGAGGCGGATTCGTTGGGAAGGCGGATAGTCGACTTTTGTTGCGGTAACCATACCGGCACTGGTGTCTGGTCCGGCGTCACCTTGACGCCGGCTGGTGTAGCGTCCAGCTGATCCTCGAAGAAAGGGGCAGCGTTGCTGAGCTTCTGCTTGTTGATACGGAACTCCTTCATCTTCTCGCCTCGACCGACGAATACGCGCGCTAGGTTATCATCTTCGTGTGATGATCTGTGAAAGAGAAGATTAGATCAGGTTGAGGGACATTGACGTATTGCAGGAGACGTACATATTAGACGCTGATGGTCTGTGGAAGATGCCCTGTGGTCTAGTCATGGGTGCCATTGTGAAGATAGTGTTCCAGCACTTGGTATAAGAGCCAGCTCTGGATGAGAAAGTAAAGTAGATGAAAGTACTAAAGAATTTGAAGAATCCAGAAAACCCAGAGCACACGAATAATGAAAGGCCGTTGACTTCGTTTGTTACTTTCACTCTCCCAGAGAGCTTGAGAAGAGAAAAGAGAGAGCACACCAGAACTAGTCCTAGATGGATCTGAGGACGCTCTTCATTATCAATTGCTCCAAGTCTGGATGCAACTTTGGCAGGGTAGAGGCGCCGCAGATATGGGGAACTACACGGTCACACACGAGCTTCCCTAACACCATGGCCCCTGTGTCGTCTGCCAAGTGCAGTGTATGAATAAGCTTATACGTGATAATCGATGTTAAGCCAGTTTCAGAAAGGAGGGTATAAGGGTGTGGCTGGCTTGGTGCTCAGCCGGGGCTTTGCTGGGGCTTGTCGGGAGTTGCTGGGACTCTTGCTGCATCCTCAGCTTAACAGAACGCTGATATGGGGCAGCGATTCACGTCAAAGACGAGATGATGCTGCTTGGGATGGTAGGGGTGTTGGTTTCAAACGTCATTGTCAAACGCACTGAGTGCATTGGTGTGGGAGTCGTGCCGCGCGAAGTGCTCCCTCAACTGCCTCAGGCGACAGGGTTGTTGGCTGTGTTCTCGTGGGACACGGCTGTAGCGGAAGCTTGGGGCATCTTAACCGTGGCTGATATAGGACCGGGGTGCCGTGCTTGGATGCAGTTCTTGACGTTCCCGCCGAGCCCTGTCATGAACTGTCTCGTCTGTGCAGGCGATCTCCTGCTCCCACCTGGCTCGGAGTTGCAATCAAAGGTTTGGCGAGATTTTTTTGGTAAGTCAAGGTGCTCGATAATCTCTCAATTTACCCTCAGACAGTGCAACGATGGTGTCTTGATCTCCTATTTTTGGTGGCGTCGTCCTTTTTTTATATGCACGGCAAAAAAAGGCAGTTCAACTGATGTCTTGGGATGAGCGTCTTGTGTCGGATGAAAACATGAGGCGTCTTGAATCGTCTTTTCCTTGTCAGTTGTGGCCAGTAAACAAGCTAGACAAGCCCACAAGAAGGATCATGTTTCGGTGCCACCCACTATCCCAGACTGTCGCGCGGGGAATACTCGCTCTGGCAGGCTCATCGCGATTGCCTAAACCTGTTGAACTTGGCTAGTGATCATGGCTGAAGGCATCGCCAGCCAGCGTCATTGCGGAGGGGGACACTTCAATGCTCTAAAGCACTAGCTCTCGTAGCTGGCATTGACGGCATTCCAAGCCCGAGGAATCAAAAGATGACTGCGCCGCCGCGTTGTTGCATTCCAAGACCCAAGTGTCCGTCTGATGCTGCTTGGATCGTCGAGGCAGTGCAACGCGGGCGGGAAAATCCTGCTGCTCATGGAGGAGAAAGACGGAATGCTAAGGTCCGGGCACCTATATCGCTACCATGGGACGTTTGGTTTCAGTCGTGGAGTTGAGAGTCTGGAAGAGGTTATGGAAAAAGTGAAGGCCCGTATAATACGAGGTGCAGAGTCGGAGACTTGAAACTGGGTCTCGGCCGGATTCGACGCTAGGCGACCCGCGAAAAAGAGTCTAAAAAGTCTCCTTGAGCCCGCTGCCCTTGGTAAGGGGGCCAAGGAGGCTTGCTTGGTCGAGCACAGGGCATATTGTGGCCGGGCCGGGCGGCAGCGTTGGAGGCGG